CATTGTCAAATTACGTATTATTATTTATTTCTATGTTATTATGAGTATTATACATGTAGATATATTATTTTATCTTATTTGTACTTAGGCACTACAAAAATAAAAGATAAATTTAGTTTTTTTCACGACTTATAAATTTATTATTGAATTAATTTTCTATTAAAACGCAATACTCCTGAAAATACGTCGAAACGTGTTATTTTCGGAACCAACACTTAAAAAAAAAAAATAATATCATTTAGAATCTATTTATAACGAAAATAAAGATAAATTTGCTTTTTTTATAAATGTGGTGAATTGCTAATGAATAACTAATCATAAAAAAAATGTAATTAATTAAATAACAAAATAATATGTAAGCATATCAGTATTGTAATCGGAAATTATCTAAATTTGGCTTTTTTTCTTAACAATGTAAGTGCAGAATTCAGGGTCACCGGTAGTCATCAAAATAATAATAATATAATGCGTATTATAGATTTTGTAGGAGGCAATAAATTCATTGTATAATAACGATTGACCACTTATATCTGATCATATGCCACAAGAAGCAACCATATAATATGGTTAGGTTAGGATAGGTTACTATTGATCACTATTAAAAAATGGGACTCAATTTCCACTCATCTAAATTTTAATGTAAAATACTATAGAAACTTTATGCACTCGATTAAGAATTCTATATAATAACAAAAAAAAATACAGTAGTATAAAACGACTTATTTTTAAAAATCCCAAAATTATGTGTCTGGTGTGGTGGACCACTGCAGTATACTTTTTGGACGGAGTAAGAAAGCATCCAGCATTATATAATTTATTCAAAACGTATAATGTAAATTCACCACCACGAAAATTGCAATAAATCATTAACGTTAAAACAAAATCAATCTAGCGGTTGAACAAAATAAAAACAAAAATGTAGAATGTTATAGATAATTTTCCAATGGGGTTTTTTTATAAAGCCACTCACTGTTTAACTATCTGACTTTATCCGGGAAAAAATAAACAAATATAAAATATTTATATACACAAAATTATATAAAATAACGTATTATATAATATTTATACCACGGTGTATCTCCGATCTCGGGTTTTAATGTAGCTTAGTTCACGGGAAAATCAGCGTCGCTGAACCACGCTTTGTGTACCAATTTAACCGAGATAGGTAACCAGATTGTGTCGGATTGGATATAGCACTTGTTTTATTTTTGAAAGTAATTCAAGTAGTGCTCTAAACTTTTCTGATATTTCTAAGAACAATTTTTGAAACTTACGTAATAATCGGTCTAGTAGTTTTTGCGTCTATATACTACACACATATGGACAGTATTTAATGACTAGCCCTATATGGCTATATTATATAAGCAAACACTATTTGATTTTCGTGAGCAGAAACAAAATTCATGTGTGAGTGACGTCTTAATTCTCAAAAATATGTATGCAAAATTTGCTGCCAATTGTTTCAGTAGTTTCCAAGTCTATAAGCCTCATCAAAACGTATACATTCATTTTTATATAATAAATATATAGACAATATTGTGTCACTATAAATAATATGTATAATGATGATTTGTTTGATATTTATTTTATGATTGTCGTTTGCAATGTTTATTTGATGTAAACACTAAATAGGTATACATAAAATCTGACTATCAAAACAACGAAAATATAATATATAATATCCGGTATTATCGTAAACATGATTTGTTTTCCAGTTATAAATTTTGTCATTTGATGAACAAATAAAAAAACATAATTATTATACATCGGATATCGATTGTCGCTCAATATAGAGTAGATTGCATTTGGATACCCATCTAATATTGTTAGACAAACCTAACAAATTTATCACGTATCTATGTGAAGTTAGTCTAACCTAACTTACTCGGTGATATCCACTTCAAACCTCCAACAATATTTTGCAAGTAATATGTAAGTAGCTACACATTTCTTTTGAAACTATAGGGTTAGAATAATTGCCAATTATAAGTTATAAACCACTTATAATCAATTTTAAAAATGTAACTGAATTGTTTTTATCAGACCAATAAATTTGTAATTTAAAATGTTAATCGAGTAAGGTACCAACAGCTTAAAAATGAATCATACTGGAAAAATACATTAATTTTCGCAATGTGGGTCTATATACTTTACCTATATATACGGTGAATTAATAATTATTATGACTTCATTCGATTTTTTTGACAAAAATGAGTTCAAGTTTAATACACAGTATTATTAATAGTAGTATAAATAAATTATAAAATATCCATAGAAATGGAGGTCGACTATAACCTAACTTGACACCTATCACGCGGTATCTGCTAGAATTGTTTTTCGTATAGATAACATCATTTGTGTTTTTGACAGAATACTGTTGTAATATTGAATTCAAATTTAACAAATCCACTACAGTGATCTATTTAATATGTACACTGGAAACCATCTATACAGCAGAGTGACTTCCCCGGTTTATTTTTTATTCAAAACGTACATTTGCATATATGTACCAACTACCTACACATTGTACTTTTCAATTCATAGATAAAATATTGTGAATGAATTATATTATTAAGTTTATTTCGCGGAATTTCGTATACTTCGGAATTTTCAGCGCTCACATATTTTAAGCGTATATTTTCTATTTTTTAGTTAATTAGATTTACAACACTAATAATAATACAACTTAAAGTTAGTCATTTGTTTCTTGTTCGTAGGTAATGTACTTTATCGTCTGACAGTATAGAAACCATTGGCCGGGAGGGATTGGAGGTTCAATGGTTTTAAACGTCTCTTCGGATTACAAAATTATGATTTCGGTTAACACCAATATTCAAAACTAGACTTTTCCAAGTGTTAAAATATCATTATATGTCGTCCTTTTCTAAAATCAAATCGTTTCGTTTTTATTGTAACAACTAGCTATAGCTTGTAAAAAATAAATATAAATACACATTATTCTAACGTACCTACGCGTTGCCACTATATCACATACACTGTCGGACACTAACACGCGTCGCCGTGTACGCCATTTATTATTATTATTATTTTTGTCGTCGTCGTTTTGTGAGCATAGGTACCTATTGAAATTGCAATAATAATGTCCAACAATGTATACCACACACGCGCCATCGGGTCGTTCCGGTCGTCCGCAGCTCGACCAGATGGAAACGGGACGAGAGTTTTATCCCGTTTTCACGGTCACGAATATTATCGCCGGCCGCGGCTTCTTTTTGATATATATTTTTTATTTTTTTTTACTGCCGTTTCAAAGACCGTCTCAACAAAATTATATTTCGCATGCACATAATATGGGTATTACGTATATTATACAGCCTTGCGATATTTTCCACAACTCGTTACACATATATAATATCGATGTTATTGTCGTACGAATGTAAAACTCCACACTGCACGTACTTACAATAATAATAATGATAGTGATATTTCACCTTCATATACCCTCGAGAGTCATCCTTAAGTGGCAATTTGCAAGCAGTCCGGGAAGGAAATTAGTGTCGGAAAAAAAAAAATTATTCGTCACCGCGGCTGTTTGCGGCACCGTCGTTTAGGCACAGTATTATATAATACAGAATGATTTCTCAAGCGTGCTCAACCAAACTTCCCTATAAAAATGAATTATTTAAAATTCTGATTTTTCACATTTTTAAATAGTTTATAATTTTAATATTTAAAGACGATATTTTCAAGTGATTGAGTTTTTGGTACTACTTATGAGGAGTTCCTATTTTATAAACTTCTGTTTTTCAAATGAGAACCATTCTTTTCTACTATATTTAGCGGATAATTTCTATGAAAATGTTGACTTATCAAAATCCAAATTCGAACGAGTAGTGTTTGAGGTATTCAACTTTGAGTACACTGCTGTACACCCATTTGATAACTCTGAAAATCAAATTTCGAATAACTGAATTATTATCGAAGAAAAAAGGAGTGTCAGTATGCTTGGTGAATCACCCTGTATAAAACACTTGGTGTGTACACTTACCACCCGTGTGATTTTATGCTCTCATACACGAGAACGAAGACATGTCATATAATTTGTATTTTATATTATTATTATTTTGATGATGTATAGCGCCCTCCCACGTCCGCTGCGAAAACCTTTCGATCCCTTTCACCCGTTTACGGCAACGGTTATCCCGCAGCGCAAACAACGCCGAAGAGACGTAAAAAATCCGTTTCACACGTGTAGTCTACTGCAGGGATGAAATACCTGATAAAATGATTAATATTTCGAGTATACAATAGTTGTGGGTGAAAAATATCATACAACATTTATATTATAAAAAAATAACAAATAGTTTTAGGTTTTCCTTTTTTTTTACAGTACATACCGTACGTGTGTATTTATTAATAATGATTTATTTGTCATAACAACACTGATTTTTCCTTTTAAGCTTTTATACTTTTCAATAATAACTATAATAATAATAATCATAATAATAATAATAATAATAATAATAATAATCTAAATAGGCAATAAAATATCACAGACAATACTTAAACGAATACATCAAGTAACATACCTACAAAAAAATATTCGAACAAACAGTAGGTATATAATAATATACTATATTAATACGAGGGACAACAGCTGTATAGGTAAATCGCCGGATCTCGTGTAACGGACTCAACACTACGATAATAATGAAAATGATGATAATGATAATGATAATGATGATAATAAAAATAATAATAATAACTACAATGACTTTAACAAACTAGACACAATGTTTGATACAATTAGGTCGTCGTAAAAACAATTCGATAAACATTTATACAACGTGTAAATAACAGTCTGGATACGCAAAGGTACCAAATAAATAAATAAATAAATAAATAAATAAATCAGTAAATAAAAAATTGTTAACACTAAAAAATATATATATCTAACTACCTATAGATATAATACACATTACAATAATATGATAATATACGTACGCGGTAGGTAATATAATAATACGTTTGTACGCTAGTGCGCGGGTCGTTTAAAAACAAATCGAATAAATCAAAATCATAAAACAAATAATGACTTAAAACTATTTTACGTAATGCATAATATACGAAAAACAATTGGAACGAGGTGATGGCGAGGAGGTGGGAACGGTAGCGGTGGATGAATCGGAGGGTCTGGAGGTAGAGATGGGGATGAATGATTTACGTTTGATAATATTAAACATTTAAGCACAATATAAATATTATAATTTTACACGTAATTAACTAAACGTTAACGCGCGGCGTCCGTATCCGTAGTGTCATATGTATAGTATAGTAATAATAATAATAATAATAATAATAATAATAATAATAATTTATATATATGTTGTAATAATAAGTGACGTGTGCGGAAAAGAGAACGAGTGGCGACGACGAATATTTATCACAATAATAGTTAATAATAATATGTATCAGCGGTGATGATGTGTTATGCGGTCAGAGACAGCGGCGGCAGTGGCGATCAGGACGCGTCTATTATCTTTTCGTCTTCAGGTATCCGAAAGCTTCGATCACGTATTGGAGACTGGTCATGTACTCGCGCAGTATTAGCCAGTCCCTGAGCGACTGGTTGTCACGCGAAATCCTCGACTCCATCGGCATGATGTCCCTGGATACGTGCGATTCCGGGGTATCGTTGATTTCGTAAATTGCCATCGACACCTCGCACAGGATCTGAAAGAAAACAAATTCAAAACGAAACCGTTTTAGTACAGATAGATAGACCTACGATGAAGATAGTACCATTGTAATAAACACAGGTGCCCTCTACGCATATACGTTATATACTATAACCATTAGGCTAGGATTTTGTAGAAAATGTTTTTTTGGCAGGGACTGTGGTAGAAAGGTAATCCTTAAGTATAAAATCGTTTCTGAAGTGCGCTTTATTTTGTTTCTTCGCCCTAGCTGTTGTGTTTTTTCCCCTGAATGCATGTTTTTACATAATTTTAAAATCATTCCCACAAAAACGCAATAAAGAGTACCATAGTTGTATTAAAATGACTGTTTTGACTTTTGGAGAGGATAAAAAGAATTTGCTTTGTATTTTACAAGTTTAGACTACATAAATGCTTTTTCGAAAATGTATTTTGATACAAAATCCTAGTTATCAAACTATATCTGTATCTGAATTAAAATAGTACGATAACAACGGACTGCAAAACGCACAATCTCCAGTGGGCAGACAAATAGTGCCTATACCATAGCAATTGGCAGTGTTTGGGTGTCAGACACCTACTCTTTTCGGCGAGACGTTTAAAATAAACGATAATATAATTGATTTTGTTTTTCCGGCTGCGACTGGCGTATTTGAACATATTTTAAGGTCTATCGAAAGAACACGCCGTGCGTATATTATTATTTAAAACTGCAGTTATAATTAATGGCAACCCACGCCGGAGCCGAGAACAGCTGACTTTAAACGCCAAATAGATATTATTATGATAACCCCGAGACAAAGGCGCTCGAGGCAATATACGTGGAATAGCGTATCCCAACGGTTCGTAATAGCATTGATTTTATAATATTATACAATCAATAGTAATAGATTTCCGTCGGACGGACAAACGTACCTATATTATAATAGACGCTTTATATTATAGGTATTTCGAAATTATATGTTATCAACAGTGAGCGTCTCGGTAAATGTTTAAACACCATCTATAGATTACAAGGGTGGGTCGAGGCGTATTCGTCTATCTTCCGTACTCGCATCACCGCTCATCGTGTTAAGTACAATAATAATAATATTTATACGCAAAAAAAAACGCCAATTATATTTGAATCGATAAAAACGTATAATATATTATAATTACATTTTTTTTTCGCGGCTTGTATTTATAAACCTAGGTACGTATGTAACATAGCAGAAAACTATAGACTGACAATAATTCGAAACGATTTACAACCTAACCTAATGGTTACGAATCTACGCTATTATATTATTACCGGCATCGTGATTACGCGTGTTTAAACGGTTAACTATTTATAATGCGCACACGTGTGATATTTAAGCGGCTAAACGTATTATAATAATAATAAATAGAGCTAATTCTTTTTTTTAATTTTCACGCGTCGAAAATTAATATTATTTTATCGGTGTAACCATTGAATTAATAATAGGTATATAATGTTATTATACGTTTATAGAGATGATGGGTTTTTTTGCACGGTGATTCCGGTAGCGCCATAGGAAAAATAAAAACATCACGGCTAGGAGGTAGCCATTATTAATACTATTATACAAACGTGTAAATTATTTCCATATTATAATATCGTACTAATATCGATGGACCATAATGTTATAACAGAGCGGTATTATATAGGTACATAATATTATCATCATGGCCCGTTGTAAAAAAGTACGTTAATTATCACGTATAATAATAATATTATTATAGGAGCGCCAGAGACAGGATAATGTAATATTTATTTTTGACTGTGCCAAAAAAAAAAAACAAATTGTGTACCGTACATAGTAATTGGTATACGTGCGAGCGATCACATTCGAATATTATTATGTATCTACTTTATTATACATCATCGTCAAGAAAAATGTTTTATTTTTTAGCCAATTTATCGATCGCGCATTCTTCGACCAAACGGTTTTCAACGTCATGTTATAATATTATATAGTGGTAAGAGAGGATTTGAGAGCGGTAACTGAGTGCTTCTATACATAGTTACGGTGTTTTAAGCACCGTCTCAGTGGCAGGTATTAAATTTGAATGTTAAATTTCACGCTGACATTTTTATACTATAGGCAATCATCAATCTGGTTAATACCTACCTCGATTTAAGATAGATATCTTAAATCGTGATACCTACACATTTATTTGCAAAACTAAATAATTCACTTTTAACACGACGTTTATTTATCTAAAACATCATGATAACGTATCGTTTTACTACGATTATACACGGTATTTCACGAGATGCACAACGTCTGCAGGACTCGTTGCACTCGGCGTGCGGGGCGAACTCGGCTGAACGCTTTCCAAGTGAAAGAAAGAAAACATTTCTAGTTTCCTATTTACCCAGACGAAATGGCGCTTTTACGATTAGGTTGGTCCTCTATTTTACCACAGAGTTATTAACTACACCTATATACTGCACGTGAAATAAATACTTACAGTTCTAAGCTTCAAAGTGGTCTCGTTGAAGTACTTGGCGTACGGGAGCATCTGCCGGTCCTGGTCCCACGCCACTTGCTCCAGCCCCACGGCCAAGTTTTGCATACCAACGTACACGGCGTGCAGTACGTCCCTGAACGTCAGACTGGCCAGATATGGCTTGCTGAGCGGCACGTCCAGCGCTTTGGGCATGTACTTGGACAGCTCGAGCCAGTCGAGCGTGATGCCTTTCCAGTGATCGTGGTTTTTCTTGACGTCCACGTGAAACGTTTCGATCACCTGCGCGAAACAGAATACAAAAATTCACCTCGGTTAGAGCATGACGGTAACAATATATTTATTTATTACACACATGTATTATATACATATACATAAGTCGGTGATATGTACCTACAGAAAATAGGGGTGGCGGGTCCTACATATTAAACTTTTTTTTATCAAACTTTTTATATAGCAACATAATATAATGGGTAATAACGATAAAGTCCGGTGTCAAATCTAACGGGATACGTATCAAACTAGCATAAGTACATAAATTATGTGTACCGCGTCGCGGCTCGCTCAAAAGTCCATCGAATTTTTTCGCTCTCTATACGACCACCGGGCGTTTATGTCGTATTATAAACTATCCTTATGGCCGTTGAAGTTTTATTTTTTGTTTTATCTTTATTTGCGGTTTGTGCGCACATATTATAGCGGTTGTATGTGTGGTGTGTGTGCAGAAAATATAATAATTATTAATGATACGACGACGACCGTTGGTCGGCGCGGCCGGTCGTCCGAGATTAAAGAACACGGGCGGCGCGGCGGGTGACGAGACCGCACGACGACCATATTATTAAACTCACTCTCTCGTGTACATAATGACAATACTCATAATACAACAATACGACGAGTGGCCAATTGACTTTTTTTCACGCTCGTACACCGCGATTACAGAGTCGTATACACACCGTAGTACTCGGGCTGGCAAAACGACCGAGGAAAAGTCCCATAAACATCCGCAGCATAATAATAATAATAATATTGTTATTATTACGAGGGTAACATATTATACGCATATTAAACAAGGCAGTAAATATTGAGTTTACGTATCGTTTTATTTTCGGTGGTGCTTCCTGTAGACCTTACGATTAGCTAAAATAAGAAAAAGATCCGAATCTGCTTTGGAATAAGGAATTACAATTTGTACGTCGCCGTTAAAAAAGTAGAAACTTAAAAAACTGTAAAAATATATTTTATATAGATAGTTTGTATACATTTGTAAAAACAATATTTTCAAAACCTTCAAATATTTTTTAAATAACGAGTGTTCTTTGCTAACAGAATCACCCGGTATTGATGTAATAATATTATGTAACACGAAATAATATTATGGTAGTTATATCGTTATTATAATATATATATATATATATGTCACTAACGCCAGCGTCGTATATAATATTATTATATCTCGGTCACACAATACGCGCCAGTTGTAATCGCGTCGGAAAAAATCCAACAACCAGCCCCTGGATCGTGAAGTGTGATGAGTTGACGGTTTGTAGCAGTTATATTGTTGTCGTCGACGTGTCCGTCGTCGGTTTTGAATTTTAAGAAAAAAAATCGATTTTTTTGTTGTTGTTATAAATTCATTTTTTAAATACTTAAATTTGTAAACAATAATACTCGGCGGTATACCGTCACTCCCACCATTATCCCCTGAATAATACTGCAGACCGGTCAGTTATATCTTGTTATTACGACTTACTTTATTACAATTACTATACGAATAATAATATTTCAGTAAATGTATGCGCACATATTTTGAAGCCCATACTTACGATGTGCACTGTATATAAGGCCCGTTAGAATATAATATATAGATATACCTAGTACAATTATCATTTTCCGATTGGTCTCTTATTTATATTATTATTGTTCTAATATTTTTTTTTGCCTTGGCCGGGTTTTTTTTGTAACAGGCGCCTGGCAGCGACCATGACGATTTATTTATATTATTATTGTTCTAATATTTTTTTTTGCCTTGGCCGGGTTTTTTTTGTAACAGGCGCCTGGCAGCGACCATGACGATCGATTGATCGATTTCGATGAGCGTTATTGGGCGTTTGTAAGATTTTTTTTTACCATTCACTATACATTGTACACAATCTGTCCCTACGCTTCATTCGTACATTACGTGAAATTTATGACTTGTCAATTTGTACGACAAATAATTTATATATTTTTTTGTTTTTTGACGCGTCCGATAACTTATTTATAAACGTGACCCCCCAAAACAATAATAACGATAATATTCGGTAGGCCGACAGTGTACTGTAACACTTTGTTGGGAGTTAATTCGGAAATATCGTCGCGTCAACGGTTTCTAATATACTGAGTACAAAATAATAGTATGCATTGTGACTATTTAGTGCGAGGGAAGAAAATCAACAACATCTATAGACTATAATATAAAACCAAACATTAATACGATCCCATAATAAAACGATGTTATTTAAGAATAATGATTATAATAGGTGCCATATTATATACAATATATTAACGATTGTGACTTATTTCACGTTGGGATATTTTATTTTCTCAGTGGACTTGATTAATTTGTAAAAAAAACACCACCGAATCGAAGTTATTGAGAAGGACAACAATAAACTGCAAGTAGGTACTCGTCTGAATATTGTAGTTACTATATGAGAGTGTGAGACAAAAAAAAACAATCATAATTATTATTACACAATTATAGCACATACCTAACATGAGTCAATGCATAATAATATATGTTTTAATCGCAACAGTTGAGTATTATACATGTTTATTGTACCTATATAATATCATACATTAAATGCATAAGACGTGCGTTTTTTATAAATCCACCATATAGTATAATTGCGATTTTAGTTTTGAAAACAAAGTCGAAACGATAAAAGAAACTTAACCGTCATTCGCCGGGTGTGTAAATAATATTAACTAAATAATATAATATGTGTCTGTGTGTTTAATGTAAGTTACACCGAAAAAAAATTAATTTAATAACAAATCGGCGAGAACTCGTTATGTCATATTATTATCGTTTTATAATCGAGTGTAATATAATAACGTCAATATTTATCATACTATTCACGTACTCGTGTAATTATAATGTTAAATGTGTTATGCATAATATGACCATGTTGGGAGTATAATTATTGTTCGAGAAAAAAATATTTACAACATAATCAGACAAATCGGTGTCGGTTTATTTTTGACTTTGTCGATCATAATATGATATTATTCTATGATCCGAAATAGGGGGTTGCTCGTGGGACTGGGGTAGGATGTCAAGATTTTTAATTTGGCTTTTTTTGTCTATTGTTTTATTGTAATATATTGTCAAAATGAAAATTGATTTTTTTCGTATGCGACAATGCAATTTTCTTTTGTCATAAAGTTGTCTAAAAATAGTCAAATATCCACCTCCTTCCGATCAAATAATCTAAGCTCGTCAATGTAGATCCGACATACAGTTAGGCATAATACCTGCAGTGTAACATTATAGACAATGATACAAATAAAAAAGGAATTTCGTCTATGAAAATTATGTTCTACCGTCCTTATATTATATCCGCCGCGCTTGGTCTATAGAAAAACAATGAGCAAAAATTTTTTTGTTTTTAAATTATTGTCGAATCCAGTCGGCGGCATCGTTTGAAACACGGTACGGTACCAGCCCACATCATTATCGAGCAGTATTATTGTTATTGTTGTCGTGTCGTTATAACAATGTTGTGCGACCATCGCATGTCCGGTCGTACGAAGAGCTGAGCGCGCGATAACCGAAGGCGGCGAGCGATATTGATGTTATTACAATGCGCGTTGCGGTGCGCGCGCGCGCGACGACGGTTTTCGAGGAAAACTCTTTTGTTTTTCCGCCGACGCTGTCACCCGAGCTGTGCGGACAACACAACAATATTGTAACGACGTTATGGCAACTATCGTGGCCGGTCCGCCCGTGCACGATGAATGAGAAACGGCCCGCCGGGATTTCGCTGAAAATGCGTCCGACGGCGACGGACGGTCTGCGGCCGACGACCGGCGCCACTCTGCACGCGTGACGCGTCTGTCGCGGCGGCGGCGGCGGTCGGAGATGTGACGGGTGAGGGAGGGGGGCAGATTGTGCGCACTCCGTAACGGTCCTAATCGCGGATCGCAATGCTTTTATCTTTAATTTTCATGTCGTTTAGTGTGTTTATTTTTATCGTATTCAAAATATATATTATAATATTATAATTGTCATATTTTTATATAATGCCTGTCGTGTCTTACTATATAGTGATAGTTTAAGAGGCGACGGACAATACAACACTTTCATAACATGCTATTCGTAATGCATATTAATAAGAATGGATATGATATACTATTTTATAGAACACAAATCCTTGTTTGGAGCGTTCATCACTACGAATAATAAGTTATATAAGTCAATCCATACATTAACCATATTTTAATATACGTCCTTACTGTTCTGTCTTATCTATAAATATATATTATCATTAAACCTATATGCCTGTCTCCGTATATTATGCTATCACTTATCACTTATAACATTCAAACAGTGTCATATTATAATATCGGGTTTTTAAAGTCTACATAAAGTGCTATAATAAGCATATGAGGATCGTATTATATTTGTGAAATCACTGGTGATGTCCCACCCAGTCATTTATATAATATTCGAGTAGTTCGGATGCTAGATAGTCGAGAGTCCTTTTTTATACACAGGAAATTCAGGATTTTGGCATGGGAAATTTCCCGGAAACTCGTAAAAGAACGGCACCTTATAATATTTTCTTACACACTCAAATCGTTCCATACTGTAAGTTGTAGTCGACGTACTATAATAGCATATTGCAGCAAATCGACCTGCAAACGTTCACAAACTGCAAGACTATTCGTGTAAAATAATATTTCATTATCAAGTGTATGATTTGAATTTGATTTTTTTCCCACATATACCTACACATGCATAATATTAACTAGTACGTACGAGTGTGAAAATTGTAGATAAGATTTGTGGAGTCCGATGTACAATATAAATAATTGCAAGCGCACAATATATTAACGATTAAGCGCAAATTCCCCCGCACTGTCGTCGTCCCACGGTCGACATTGCAGCACATTATTTTCCCCGACCACCGACTCCGTCCTAATTAATAGCAGATAGTATAGTTGTTTTTTGACGATTCTTTGCCGTACCGTTATAATATTGTATATTAAAGTAAATGCCATTCGAACTCTGCTTGCAGCACTTTTCGCGTAAGCTCACGAGTATGATCAACCCGTGTCTGTCATATTATTATGTTCGATATTGTTTGCATCGAGTGGCCCATCAGTAAGAGACCAATTTCCAATGTGCTTGTTATGTAGATAAAATATTATGCAGTCAACACAGTGTCGAGTAATGATTTATAAAAATCAGAAAAAAAATAATCACAGGTGCCGTCCGTTCGTTCGGTGTCTGTAATAACTACTTACGGGACGAGTGTAATATTATAATATTATTTATCATATTTTACCCCGGTTATTTTTTACTATCGTTATTATTTTTTTTCTCGTTGTTGTGCCGCCAATAACTACTAGCAGTGTAACAAAAACATACGCACGAGAATAAAATAACGTAAACGGCGTTTTTTTTTCTTCAAAACCCCAGCGTGTGTGATTGTTGTCCATTTTTCGTTCTCCCACGCAGCGGCGCATGGACGCAGAAAAAAAATTATTTTTGGACGTCGTTTATTATACACCACACACACACACACATAAACACATACATCTAGAAGATATCGAAAATAATTATCGTTGATTTTTTTTTTCCGCTGATCGTGTTGTATTGTTATAGCGCGTATAATTTTACGGATAGAAAACGAAATGAGTCATCTAGAAAAATAAACGCATTGAATTTTTGTATAAATCGTGCGTACTGCGTACGCATAAAATATAATAATTATTATAATCATTACGAATTTAAACGATAACATCATAACGAGGTTTCGATTGGGTTAGTCTGATTTAAACGCGTTCTAAACAATAATTATCCTTATGGGTATAGAAAGTGTCAGTTTTCTATGCATGCCTCTTGTGTTCGTCTACGTATAGAAAAAACGAACTCTAAAATAAAAACACGGACAACTTTAGTGGGTAACAATTTGGTAGTTATTACACATTGTCATTTATACGCTTGAATACTCGTACAATAAAAACATTCAACAATTAGTAAATAATGATTATATCATCATCCAAAATCTTGTCAAAAAAATGTTCACTCTATAAAGTCGTCTAATTTATAGGATGTAAGATGTAACGAATGTTTCCATTTATATAGGTATATAAATTATCAGAGTGAACGAAAAGAAGAATATCATTGTTATTATTATTTTTATCGGGAAAAGACGAATTCTTAGAGACGCAATAATAGCCACATCGTTATTTGTAAGGGGGTAAACAAAATATTTTTTCCCTTTTGGCACTTTTTATTTATTATTCTATATAATAATATATAGAGTTTGGAGCATTTCCTTCATATACTTATACACTTGAGTCGCGATAACTCGAAAACCTTATATAAGTAACTCGAAATTTTGCCTTGCCCCTAAAGTGCTCATGTCTTTTTATCTTAAATTATGTTATATTTGAGGTATTAGACGAATATGATTTTATCCTTTTTGAGTTTTGCGTTCTCGATACTTTACTGTATAATGTATCATAGATGCGATAATTATTTAAGTTTACCGTCGAATTTCGATTAGAGTCCGCATTATATAATTATTGTGCTGTGGGCGTTATAATGTTGATTTATCATTTGGGCAGTTCAGAATATTCATATTTATTATTATTGTTATTGTTGACGAGTTCGTATTTATGTAGGTTAACCGAACGCATTATAATATTTAATTTTATCGTAAACACCGTTATTGTTTACACGATCTGTACACGCGCGTGCGATTGAGATTTTGTCACTCTCCGTATTTGTGAATAATAATAATAATAAATAAAACTAGACGCGAAAGGGTTGTAATTATATAGCTAATGTGATATTGTTTTTTTTATTCATCTTAACAACAACTCGGCAGCAAAGGCCATTATAAGATTTTGTTTTGTTTGATCACTTCCCGAGTTGTATAATATACACATTCAGCAGCGGTGGCGTAGGCGGCATATATGAACCACGCACGTTCCGGCGGCGGTGATGTCGTAATTTCGCGGTGCACTTCGAGGAAAAATAACAACAAGTGGTATACGCTACGATCGACAGAATAAATAAATCGTTTTGTATAGGTATCGAGCCGTACAGGTACATCATAATACAACACGTATACGACGACGATTAATGTATTTTTTTCATATTACTTATAACTTATAAACGGCTTCGATCGGTAGTTTTCGCAACGGAAAACCGATACGTTTCCGCAACCGCCGCCGACGGAGTGTACTTACGTCAATAATTCTGCCGCCGCAGCTGTGCCACCGACGCCTTTTGTCCCGCTCGCTTTTTCCCGATATTTTCCCGTACAACACATAATATAATATCGTATACAAATATTGTTTACGATGTACATATATACCGTGGCTCGTCGACGCACACACACAAACGCGCACGACGGAAACAATAATTTAGGTGCGAACTAATGTATTTTTTTGAAACCGACGACGACTCGTGTTTACACACATTGTCGTACACATCGCGGCGGCGCATATTATCGCGTGCAGACCGTGGGAACTTGACGTGGCGGTGCATCGTTGGTTAAGTGTCGTTTGAAAGTTCGAAAAAACAATAATCCTTATACGCGGTCCGTATTATAACAATATTATTACCTTCTTTTAGTTATTAGTTATAATAATATATTAGATTAAAGAAACCGATCTTCAACCGAAAAATCCGTCGTATTGGACCATCCTAGTCGGAAGATCATTGCATTACGAGAACTTGAACCCTACCTATATCTTCGTCCATCTAGCCATTCGATATTATAGTGCCCATTAACGAATTTGAAGAGCGCTACAATATTGTGTGTACCTAACAAAAAAAATTAGAGTTTTTTCTTTTTTGGACTATTTATTATAATATACAATGACTAATACAAAGTATATGAACTTCTTCGTTTGACAATATGTATCACAGAGCTCCCGAAATACATAAAACAGCGCTGAAAACGATATAATTTCCCCTTTTAAATTCGATGTTAGAAAACCACGGCCCTAAGTGGCCAAGTTGTATGAGATATAAATTCTTTTTCAGGTGGTAATGTGGTATCATTTCGTTTCCGTCAAATCGCAGACAAACGAATTTTAAATTATTTAAAAAAATGTGATCCGATGATAGTTTTATTCTCAACAGGTTTTACCGATGACACATCACGGAACTGCATCGCGAGATGCTAATCACGATCCTATGCCTATCCGTAGGCATATTATTAAAATCACGTGACGTCCTCGTGGCTTGGTGCAGAGGGGGTTGAACGCTCGCGGTGCTTGCGGTGACTTAAACGTACGACCACAAAAATATCGTAGACAACGAGCACACACACACACACACACACACACGATCCTTATTAACTGTATACACCTGCACAGGTCGTCGGATTCGTAATACACTTTACCTGCACATTTATATTTTATATTTTATGTTTTTATTCCGTCCGGTCGGCGTTTCCGTCTGCGTGCGGTTTGTTCGCACATGCGACAACAATGTAACTAGTTTTTTACGGACGTATTTTACGGTACCGCCCCTGAAAATATACGACCTCCCAAACACCCGAGTGGCCGCGGCGGCGGCGTTGACGACCGTTTCTAATCGACCGCCGATGATTCTCTCTGGCCGCCGCCGCCGCGCGTATTTCATTCATCTCGACCGTCGCCGACGCGCGACCCCCTCTAGCTGCGGCGGTGCAGCCGGACGCACGCGCGCGCACTCGAAACGCACGTGCGGCGGCGCCACACGAACACGTTGTCATCGCCGCCGCGTGCCGCCGGTGAATCACATTAATATGTTATTATTATAATATATTAGTGTACACCTACCTATGCGATGTACAATAATATCATAATACTACTATTATTAAAATTAATGCCGATAAAATAAAATATTATGCTCACGTCGAACCGATCATAACAACATTACATGCAACTCGACGGCATTTGTATATACGTTTTTTTGACCAACTAGCCTACCTATATGTATTATTTTGTCCAAATAGAGCGGACTGTAATATTTTAACTGTTATTATACTATTCTCTCAGGGGGGGGGGAGAGATCGGGTGTAATGTGATGGCGAAATCATGGATAATATTAGAATATAGACAGGCCACCAGAATTTATAACTTGTGGTAAGTTAAAGTAAGGTTCAATAGGAAGTATTACTGTTGACTGCTGTACTGACCGAAATTCACACCTAATTCGGTTCAAAAAATAACCTAAAAGAGTCCGAAAAGTAACGTAAATGTTTCTTTCTATTTTACAGACTGTCGATACATAATATGACAACTATATTTTAGTGAGAGCATCAATTTCTAAAATATTTGACTGAATTAGGGTTATTATCCGATGGAATTCAACCACATAAATATGATTCCCGGTTTGTGAATGATCTATAGAACTCCCGTAAAATTTATATTGCGTCGGTTATTTTTTTTTTTACTATTCAATCGCAAACTTAGCAACAACACTACTTTAAACATATAGTTTTAGGTGTCATATGGAGGTACTTACGAAAGCACCAGTGAACTGTTCTGCGTGCGTCAGGGCCTGATTGGCGGCCACGACAATGCCGTGGATGATGTCCTCTTCTCGTCGCATGGCCGAATCCGATTCCGGTTCCGATTCCATCATCATAATGTCGTGGCCGACGGCACTGCTCATCATGGCGCCAGTGGCACCACCGCCGCTACCATCATACGTCAACAGCGTGCCGCAAGGGTTGTGCCAAAACGGCGTGCCGGTTGCGATGATGGAGCGCGGCAGCGTCGGAGACTTTGACGGTTTGGCGGGTGCAGACATGGCGCAGGGCACCAAGATCAGTCCAATGACGAACGAACCGGCTGCGAAAAACGAAAAATAAAATAAATAAACAACGAAATAAATTTTAATCAAACGTGGATAATATTTTGATTGTGTAGGTGTACAATATAAATATATTATATACGTTTTATTTATAATCATTACATACAGTTTGCTACTGAGTAGTGCGCGACAGGAACAAGAGAAAGAATTTTTTAAAGACCAAATCGGAAAAGAAAACTACCTAAACGAACGCGGTTGTCTCATATTACATATATAATTGATACATAACTCAATATTGTATACCTGCGTGCAGCGCTAATACCTAAACCTATTTTTGAACATTATAAATCGGCCAAATCGTGCCGATATTGCTCTTGCGGACCGGCACGTATGCACATATTATACTAAGCTATACTCTTAATTAAATTGCATCTTCGTCTGGCACCCCCAATTAGTATTGTGTACTCTGCGCGCGCCGATCGCACCGCGCGGACGAGGGTGGCGGCGGGAAAGAAACCACCGTCGCGTCTGCACAGTGCCCGCCGGGCTGTCTCCGATCCGACCGTCGTCGTGGTCCATACGTGGTCGTCGCAGCGTCCGAACAGCGGCTACAGATCTCTCACACACGCAGCGCACATTACTGACTAATTATTATCGTCCGGCCGGCCGGTCGTTTGCGTGTGGTATTGTTGTCGCGCGGGGACCACACACACGCGGCGGTTTGAGAGCGCGAGCGCGCGCGCGACGACGACGTCTTTGGCCGCGAAGGTAGAGTATAGGTATACAACACAAGAGGGACGACGGAGACGAAGACGAGTGGAAGAGGACTGTAAGAGAAGGACGAGGAGGACGAACGAGGACGAGGTGGAGGAGTAGTTGCAATAATATAGGTATATTATGTAGTTGCAGGTAGGTTTTTTTTTCGCATCGATTATTTATTATTATTTTTTTTTTTTTCATTTCGTTTGGTATAACATAGACGCGACGGCGGTTTTTTCTTTCGAAAAGCTCGGCGAGCAATTAGCGAAAAATTCACGGCAAACCGGCGATTTTACAACGTTTTTTTTTCTTTTTTATCTTAAACCCCGTGCGATTTTGCTAACCCGTTTGCCCGATCACCGCCACTGCAGGTGATGCGATGGGAATTATTATAGGTCTTCGATAGGTATACACATTATAGGTATATATATGCTATGCGCTATATGTATGTACAATGTTCCTATTTGTCGAAGCCGCTGTTCATCTCAACTCGTACATTATTACGACGACATCAGTCGTACTTATTATTGTATATATATATATATGTATAATATCTATTATAATTGAATGTGTGTGCGTGTAAGTGAATCGGAGGAAAAAAAATTATATAATTGTTAATTGTTATCCTCTTAGAGAAACACCGTTTTAAAGTAGGTAGGTATATTATCGCGTTGTATAGAAAATAGTGCTCGCCGTAAATATTTTTCCGATATAATATATACCTATATACTCCGCACTCGTATATCATAGTATTATCGTTGTATTATCGAGTATTTACAACCTATATATATATATATAATAAATACATGTCTTATTATTTGAACACGGCATCTGTTTTGTTATTGTTGTCGAAAATGACCCACCTTATTAGATGCCATTTGATTAACCGATCGTATTACAACACCGATGGTGTCTGTAAAACATAAATTTATTGACCACCATGAAAGTCCAAGACGAAAAAAAACCTACATAGCTTAGAATTTTGTTTTAAGTGGCCAAGATTATTTTTTTATTATCTTGCATTATAATGTTATTGTATTCGAATTCAAAGTGCGAATTCTGCTTATTTTATATGAATCCATGGCAATTTATAATAGTGAGTATTTTTTCTAATATTGTTATAAATAATTAGCAAAACATACTCACAGATTTTTGAAATAAAATCGTACGTTACCTACCTAATAAAAATGCATTAAACAAGAATCTACCTACTTTTTAAAATCATAATTATTCCTAAAATTTTAAAAATAGTTCTCTATACATAATTGTATTAATTAATTATAAAATATTAAGTGCCTATTATTATACCATAATTATAATTTACTAAATGTATAAAGAAAATATAAACATTTTTTATGTACCTATAGCTGGAACAGTGTTAATTTTTTTGTTCGGTAATAAATGTGTAATAATTTAAACAAAAACAAACAAAACATCATATTAAAAAAAAATGTAATTATTCTCAAATACAAAACACGATTTGTTCCAGTAAAATAAACAAAAAATTTTTTTTCGCTATTTGTCAATTACATTTTTAAAATATGGTTTTGAGTAATAAAAATTAATTAATCGTACCTATAAATGAATTAAGTCGGATTCGTTGGGCCATTAGCAATTCGAACGACCATATTTCTTGAATAATTCGTCTACATCTCTAATCCAGTTTAGGAACTAGTGACCATGTCATCGTCACAGACAGCACAACACATAATATACCGCTATCACGAAAGGCACAACGACGTCGACGCGCCGTCAAGCGACGACTAATATGTACTGTGAGGACGTGAGGTACACACATTGCACGATTTATTATTTTTCGTACATAATTATTAATAGTTCAGTATATGGAAACATTCACGATCAATCGACGACTATCGATGTTATCGGGAGGCCGTGATTGTTTTATTTTCATTTGTTTTCCATTAAGATAATTAGTGTACGAGTATACGTCATTTTATTTCTATGTAATATAGAAACACATATACATGTTATAACCGAAACGCGAATGAAAATCACTTGGCGCGGTACTCAAAGCTTATCGAGTTGTAAAAGTATGTCAGAATAAAAAAAATATTAATTTATATATATATAATATAAATACATATGGATCGATTACGATCACGCAATATAACTTGTGACGAATAATCGAAAACCGTAACAACTGTCGATCGTATTGCAATGTCGCGCACACGGTGGCTGTCGACGATTAATATGCCGCACACGTGTACTTGTAGCGATATATACCAAATGACAATAAACTAAGTCCATAATATGGATACCGATGAAAAGCCATTGCTTTTTATTGTTTTTTGTAGGCGAACTGCGTTCAGTATACTACCAGAGTAGTAAGTCCAAACAGTCGAAATAATAAAGATACGAAGACGGGGACAGAGAGTGTACGTTGCAAGTGTATCGTGATGAAGACTATAGAGACAACATAATCAAGAGATTAATGAAAAACTCAATGTAAAGAGCATGTTAATATTATAATATACTATTGTCACCGTCATCGTCATCAATATGCGGTGTGAGGTAAATTTTCGAACGGCTCTGGACGAAATGCAACCGGTGTCGTTTGCCGCTCGCACGGCTGCTGCAGACAAAACAACATTGCACGCAAAAGAAATGATAACAAAAAACGCTAACGTGGTTCCAGCGATCAGTCGGATTTTTTTCATTATTATTTTTTTTTTATTATTATTGTTAGGTGTGATAAATTATAATATTATATGTATAACAATATTAAATTATCGTCGTTCGTCACAATATAATACATTATATTATTGTAATATTCTCTTTTTGGGGGATATGAGTGCGGTGATTGTTTTACAGCACGGTCTTTGCGAATTCTGCTCGAAAAATTACTTATACTACAATATATGGGAAGCAAAGCACATTCGATGGGATGTACGGTACGGTTAACATATTTAGGTGTATAATGATATAATAATGACAACTCGTTGCCGGGGACTCACCGATAAAAAGCCGACACGAACGGCGGGTGAAATCGAATCTCCTAGGGGCAGTTTGGCAGCGGTTCATCTGTGGCGACGGCGTCCGGCGGTCTGGCGCGGTCGTCGCGATCGGCACCGAAGGCGTTCGCTGCCTGCAGTGTTCTCGGTAACAATCGACGCACCCGGCGCCTCCGTAAGACTCCATAAGGCCGACGGAGGTCGAGTCGAAGTGTAAAAGAAAAATTAAAAACGGTGAAAAAACGTACTCCGTCGAGAATATTAGGCACGTCCAATCGATTACGGTTAATATAATAAAATACGAATATTATGTCACACGCGTACCGAGAGAGACGTTGTTATATTGTGCCGGCGAGCGCGATGTCGATACGAACGTCGATAAAACAAAAATAATAATAAAAAACGATCGAAAAACAATAATAATAAATTAATGTGTGCTATACCGGACGAACTGAAAAGTCTGTTGTACGTATACGGATAATATTTAAATTACGATACGATTGAATTTAAAAATTAATAACGATATTAAACAAATAGTGTGAACAACTCGCGTGCAGTATACGGGACGACAACAATGATGATGATATTATATTATATATTTATACGGATGACCACCGTCGACCGAAAACGATCAACTGAGATAGCCACCTGACTCCGGTGGACATTTAAGTCTTGACGGTGGACCGAGCGGCGGCAACAGCAGCAGAAGCGGCGGCGGCAAACGTAAGGGCGGCCCGCCGGGCCCCCACCCGCGCGACCGTGGGTTTTCCACCCGGCCACCGGTTGACCAATGGCGACCTGTTGAACGGACGGGAGGACCGGCCCAAGGCGACCGGGGGTTCATTCATTCAGGACGCGCGCACGCACACACGCGCAAACGTATACGCACACAGACGCGCGCGAGGTGAATTTCGCGCGCTCCCCTCCGCGGACGACGACGCCGCCGCCGCGGAGAGCGCGGACGGACACGCGGTGACGTCAACGAACGATGACATACTGCTCTGTCGCCGCCCGGCGTCCGCGTTCGCTGTAGTTGTCCTGTCGCCACCGCCACCGTACGGTCCAGAACACACCGTGGGGGTATTTCCCATCACTACTACACCAACAGCCCCCGCCACTATTGTACCGTCACTACCACTACCACCCTATACGGCCGAGCGGCGGCGGTCACGTTGTCACACGACCGCCGTCGGGGATGATGGCCACGCAAATAATGTTATTATTATTATTATTATTATTATTATTATTGTTAAGTGTTACGATAACGATACATTGCACCGTGCAGCGAGTGTAGGTGTACCCACTACCATGCACAATATGCTCGGAGGATAACGTCATCTGTGTGGGCTCAGGTCTCGGCGGTAGCTATATGCGTACATAAATACATAATAAGTGTTATAAATAAAGTAGGAATATAACGATTTTCGAGGGAAAAACAAGTTCTGGTGACACTTGGATACGCGATATTACGTATATAGGTACCCGGGGACTGGACGTCACTACACGCACCACGTGTCAAGTAGGACAGCTCGCGAGAAACGCTAATTTTGAAATTCCAGTAAATTGAAAAATTGATCTTGAACATTATCATCGTCATCCCCTATGGCCCATATAAAATACTCTTTATACGTCAGTTAGTATTCCGACGTATTGGTGACTTCCGCCTGCACGTGAAGGCAACCTAACCTTAAAATGACACAATTGTCCCACACACAAGTGGTATGACAATAAAGTGTATATTATCCCTGATGTGAGTATACCTACGCTTTTGTATAAACTAGATACAGTGTCAGGTGGGTTACAATTCACAAATCAAAAATCTATATGATTGTGTGATCAGTTTTTAAAATATTCCATATTGAATGAAGGTATAACTATTAGATTCACAATCATCCAGCCGTCGATATTTCTGTTTAATGTTATTTTAAATGGTTAATTATTATATTTAATTACTATCGGGACCACAGATAAGTGAAACTATAAACTGGCGTTTATCTAGGGATATACTTATAGATGCTTTTATAAAATATATTATTATGTAAGAAAAATAATACTAAGATACAAGTAGATAAACAAAAGTAAGGTGGTAAACATAAGGTTTTGCTTAGATGAAGCACATGGACTGAGTGTGCGGATTATTTTCGAGAATCAACAGATACATGGTTAAAATTGAAAATATTTTTGTACATTTTCCCACATGGTACCAGATACCTAGATATAATTTTTGATTAAATTATGCAGTAAAAGTTGTCAAGAAATAATGTTAGTTTTAAGATTTCTGATAATAAACATTTTAATAATATACTTAGAAGGTACTGAATTTTAATGCTACATTTTAACTATAAGAAAATATTTAATGAACCATAAAAAAAATTCGAAACTGGCGTCTTGTGAATTGTAGTTTAAAGTGTGCCTCATAATTGAGTAAGTCACTGTATTTGATGTGTTAAATTTTAATTGAACAACAAATGATAAATCAAAAACGATCATGGGATAATGAGACACCGAGACGAGTGTGTCAGCACCAATTTTTAAGGATAGTTATTTTAGGTTGGTTAGTTACTAACTAGATTGGTTGAACTGGATTTTGCATAGATTTTGTATACTTATAAGCCCATACCGGCAAACGGTGTGAACAATATGTTTGCGGGATAAATAGTTTAAAGTTAGTCTAAATATTTTTCAAAATTAAATTGTGTTTAGAAATGAATAATATATTATGCAATCGTGAAAAGTTGAAGTGATTTTTTATTTCCTTCCAACTTCGAGTTATCGCGACTCAACTGTACTTAAAAGTATTTTTGGTAAACATTTCAAGTCTCCAAGATAACTGTTTTCTGAATTGTAACACAAAAAAAAATCGATTTTATATGAAAACTGATTAGGTTTCTATTTTCCGTAAATTTTCGCTAGTTAAACCCAATTATTTAGAAAAGCACTGAACATAATATTTTGTTATTTCATACTCTACTAAAATCTCTTCTACATCAAATTGCCTACACTCAATGTCGAAGTTTGTTCCAAAACGTGATGATACAGATACAGATAAATAAAAACATTGTTAAATCAATACATTCCTATAATGTGTTTCAGAATCTAAAATTAAAATAATTAGCTTCCGCTATTCCATAATATGACGTCCTATTGATATTAAGATATTGTTCACGCTTTACACAGTGGACAGGAAGTATTTACTGGGTCCTGGTATTAAATACTTAGTTTTTAAATAAAAACAAATATAACGAGTGTTCTAAAAGCTGTTTAATTAATTTATAATCTTACATACCTAATGTCTTAGTTCATCTATTAAAAATAAATGTTTAGACATCACACACTCTTCTTGTTCATTAGGTCTTGGACAGATTGTTGAATGAAAAATTAAAGTAAAAAAATAAAAAAACATATTTTATGCTAAAAAATAATGATGATCAATGAATTTAATAGATATTACCTATGTTACAGTTATTCGAAATTATTAAAGGTGGTGTTCGTATTTTAGTCAACATTATGGTATAAATATATTGTTTTAGATGCCGGACACTAGTTTTAATGAACTTTAAAATAATATATATTTTTCTAATTTTTAAATAACTTACATATGTTTACATATTTTACGATAATAATTGTGCTACCAAGTTCAAATTGATTAGATAAAGAATACAAATGTAGTTAATGAAATAATTTATGTAAATAAGTACAGAAATTAAATTATTATTTTTAATTATATGTCCTATTATTTATTATATTTTATTTATTAATTAAATACGTATTAAGTTTATATCGCGTCACGAGATTTAGTAATAAAAATAAAAACAAATCTCAAAATGTATTAACGCAAGGATGGATATGATAACAATAATATCTATCCTCAGTGACTGGTCATTGGTTGAACACCCTCGCGAAAAACTATAATATGCTCTACACCTATATGCTTCCGGTTAGACATTTCCGGTTAGTTAGAGTAAAAATAGAAAATAGACGACGATTGACGTCATAATGGTGTGCTCATTTCTCCTTTAGACTGTCTCACGTTAATATACCGATGTAATTTTTATAAAAAAGTATTTGTCTGTGTTTGTGTATAACAATAATAATATCCATTTAAAGTTTTACTAACGATTTTCAAACTTACTTTTTTGGACCTCTTCGATACGTCTTGATTCCTGAATTTACTTATACAGTTGTGTTACCGATTGTGTGCAGTAGTGTGAATGCAGACACAACAATATTTTCCAAACACTCGGAGAATGCAACGTTAGTCCTTAATTGGCAAACTAAAAATAAAAATGAAATGTAATTATCAGATTATTATTATTTCAAAATATTGTATATATTTATGATTATAGACACATAATAACTACGTGTCGTCTAAAAAATTAATATAATATTATTGTAAAATACATTACATATTGTAATTTAACGATGTTTTCTAAACGCATCTTGGTAAGAAACTTGATAAATAGTGTTATTAATTATTATATTTAAATTGATTATAATTTTACTATTCAAGATTAAGATTGAAAGACAGACCAGTTGAATTATTCATCGAACTTCAGTCTGAGGGTAAATAAACCTACGAACCTATCATCGATTCCGTACGCTTTATTTTCACGTTTCAGCTGAAATAATATATAATTATCACTCAGCGGCGTTTGGAGTTAAAAGAAAAGGGGCGTAGTGTTATCGATGTGTGATTGAAACGGTCATATAGATTTCACTAAAAATATAGCTCTAGAAATGTTCGATATATTTTGACCCATTTGAATTTACACCGCCGATTTAATTTTATTTCCAGGGTCAACCACATCCGAAAGTCGTAAAAATTTGAAACCTACAAGTAAAAACAAGAAACACATAACAAATTATAACAATAAAACAATTTTTAGTATAGCGTGGAAAAACTGAAGCATATTTCATTTGGCATAATCTGTTTTTGAGTTAGATATTAAAATATGAGTTTGCGGTGTAACACATTTTGTAGATTTATTTCGGTGCGTTTCAAATATAGGTCTGTTCTCAATGATTGTTTGAAATTTGACATTTGAATATTTTAATGCAGAATGTTATTTATTTGTTTGTAATAATAAACATAATTATTTATTCAGCCTGCTAGGTAAAAACTGTATCGTAGATATTTGTCGAAAAATATTAGAAGTGAAGAAAATAAATCAAAACGGTATGAGAGTAATTTCTTTTTATGATATTAGAATTTCAGTTTAGAACCGTCATCAACAGTTATTAAAAATATGTTATTATAGGTAGGTACTAATGAATAAAAGAGAAATCGGATTTTTATTCGTTCCCTATTATATTATTGATATATTTGTAAAAGATTTAAATCGTTTATGAATTTTCTACAAAATATTAACATTATGTAAACATGACAAATCTGCATGGCTAGTGCAATAAATATTATATGTATGAAGTCTTACAACGGTCAAAGGTTTGGATAGTTGCAACTGTTATGCGTTAAATATAATGACGTTAGATTTTTGGCATTTTAAGCGAAAATTAATTTGAAGAATTGTATACATATATTGAATAATTATTATAACATTAACGTTATACTAAATGTCAAAATTGAAAAATAAAATTCATCATTTAAATTACATTAGCTTTTTTTTACTTATTGTTTTTATAAATTATAAGTATTGTGCAATGTTAGGTGTCTATATACCGTTACGGTATGTTTAAACGTTTAAGTCAGAGGTAAATTAAAAGCAAATACACCTATCTTTATAAATAAATTTGATTCATATTGCCGTTGTAGAATGTTCCATTTTTAAAATTATCTGGATTGAATTATATTCCTTATTTTATATTATTGGTTTTCTAATCAGAATTTATACTCTAGTCTAATAATTTTAAAGACAAGTCTTGAGAATCGTACTATTATATAGCAAATACAAAATGGTTATTAAAAAAAATATATTTATATAGTATCTATTTTATTTATA